CAATATTATTATTAATATTAGCGAACATTTTGTGCAATTTTTAAGGAAAATGCAGCTTTTTTACATTGCACCAAAATTATCATAAAATTGATCACATTTACTTTTCAAATTCTCATTAACGGTGCAAACATATGATAAAATATTTAATATATAACATATAATAATTAAATTCTAGATTAAAAATATTATAAAGTAAACTTTATTTGTATCATTGTTTTGGCTTTTTTACATACCTATAATGAGATTTATAAGAAAATGTTTTTTAAAACAAAAACAATGCATCTTCAGTGAAGTTTTCAAATGTAAACTCAATCCCTTACTTTTTATTTTCCTATGAAATGCAGCAAGTAGTCCGATTTTGTGCGAGGTGGCCACTTTATGATGATTACCGTTCAAGTGTCTTGAAGGAAATGTTCTTTTTCTGAACATCAGAGGACAAAATAGCCTATTTTCTGCAGAAGTGGAAAGTGCATCTGAATCTAGCTGGAGGAATCAGCCCATTAGTGCTCGATCAACAAATGCCCTCAAACCATGTAGAGTTCATGTCTGCGGCTCCTGCCCGAGCGTTTATTTTTTCCTGCCATTCTGAGCCATGTTTCCGGAGCTTTCTTTCTCTGTGTGTCTAATGGAGAGAATCATCATCGCTCGTGATAAAAGCTCTCGGTGCTCGGTCACGGGCAGTGAGACATCGCTGAGGGTTTAATGAGATTTTACTCCGTCTGTGCCGAAGTGTCTGTAAATTATTCATCAGTCATTTGTTTATGCAGCAGTTAACAAGTGGCTTTATGAAGGATTTGCATGGAAATTTGTTTCCATCATGTCATGAACAAAAGCCAGAATGTCACGTTCTTGTGTATAAAATGCTCTATCAATATGACAGATTTTCATTGTGATCAGAGTAATGAGTATGATAAACAGTGCTTATTAATAGTTAAGAGCTTTTAGAGAATAGAACCGCTCCATCTCTGTCTGTTTTTAAATCCCTGCTTATTTACTGTAGCCTACTAATATTGCAGCGTTGATTTAATTGGATTTAATTTTCTTGGATATTTATTTAGAACCCATCCTGATGTAAAGCACTTTGGATAGTCTAGTGGCTGTTGTAAATGTGCTAAATAAATTGATCTTGAACTATATACAAGGATTATTATTATGTTGGCTTGTGAAAGCCAACATACTGTTATACTACTCTGTCCTTGAAAACAAACGTATCTCCTCCTAGGCCGTTCTTGCCACAAGGCACAAATGTGGTCAACATGTGCCTTCTACATTCCCTTAGTCCCTTTATTAATCAGGGGTCGCCACAACGGAATGAACCGCCAACTTATCCAGCATTTGTTTCACACAGCGAATGCCCTTCCAGCCGCAACCCAACACCAGGAATACATAATGTTCAAGTCCAGTTTTTGACACTCATAAAGACTGTCATAGAAACATCGGGGTTGATTAAGATCACTCATATTGCCAAGAAGCTTTGATGTATCATCACTAACCTGTCAAATGTCCCCATAGCAATAAAACAGTATAACCTAGCAACCATTTAAAAATAGCAACATCTCTACATCAGAACATCGTAGGGACCTGGGCATTGGCTTGTTTGACTCATGCTAGCAAATGGGACTTCCTGTGTACTATGCATGGTAACAATGATAATGGAAGCCAAGTGCTAATAACGATTCGCTACATGCTATGAATGATTATCTAAATGCAATAACATATGCTAGAAATGCCTACTAAGTATTAGCATTTGATCAAACATGTGCACGAGCATTGCCATTTAGCAACTGCTTAGCAACCACCTAACAATGCCATAATCGTTTAAGCAACTGCCTAGCAACCACTTAGCAACCGCCGCCGTGCTTTCTGCCAACTGCCAATCCCAGTCCTAGCGCAGTCACGTTGGCTTTCTCAAGCCAACATCAAAGTTTATCAATAAACTTTAGGTTCTAGTTGTTGTTGTTATTATTATTATTATTACTGCCAGCATTATAAATATTTCTTGATTTGTGTAATATTAATATGAATAATAAAATATGAAATAATTGTATTAATTGTAATAGAAGTGGTTACGGCTTATAGTGTGACATTCTGATCATATTTATTATTTATTGCTATTATTGTTGTTTAATGATAATAATACTAATAATACATTTGAAATATTATGCTAATATATACACAGTGGGGATGCTCCGATCATGATTTTTGCAGCCTATACAGTAGAGGTGTGAACCTATACTGGTCTCACGGTTCGGTTCGGTTACGATAATCATGCCATCGATTTGGTTCAATTCGATATCTCGGTGCATCACGGTGCATTGACGATGCTTTCCATACACAGTGTTATATTTTAGGGGGTGGCTATAACAAGCTGTCTGTATAAACACACACACACACACACACACACACACACACACACACACACACACACACACACACACACACAGCACCACACTGTCTCTCATTCACACACATACACAAACATAGACAGCACCAAACAAACACACGCATACGCATGCGCGCACACACAACACGCTTGCTTGCTCGCTCGCGAGCTATATTGTGAGACCGCCCACTCCTGTTAAAATTACACCAGAGTTATTTTACACCAGAGACCGCTCCCACACTTTATTCGGAAATTAATTCCTGTGCCGCATGAAATCTTCTCGGGTCCCGCGACAATGCACTGGTACGGCCACGGGAATGCATACAGCCGAGAGGAACAGAGAGGGTAGGAAAAGTCACGCCAGCAGCTGAGAGGAAAAGTCATACCAGCAGGTGAAATGGGCCACAGTGAGAGAGTGAGAGAGAGAGAGAGAGAGAGAGAAATGGAGTACTTTCATTCCCTCAATCGCAGAGAAATAGGGGCTTCTGCTGTAATTGTCAGTGAAAAACTGTACAGAAATCACACAAACGCAGTGAAATTGTGCACAGTTAAAAACTGGTAAGGAGTTTAAGAGTATTTATTTAAGTAATTGTGCAGCCAGGAAGCAGTGGCGCAGTAGGTAGTGCTGTCGCCTCACAGCAAGTAGGTCGCTGGTTCGATCCTCGGATCAGTTGGTGTTTCTGTGTGAAGTTTGCATGTTCTCCCTGCCTTCGCGTGGGTTTCCTCCGGGTGCTCCGGTTTCCTCCACAGTCCAAAGACATGCGGTACAGGTGAATTGGGTAGGCTAAATTGTCCGTAGCGTATGATTGTGTGTGTGGATGTTTCCCATAGATGGGTTGTGGCTGGAATGGCATCCGCTGCATAAAAATGTGCTGGATAAGTTGGCGGTTCATTCCGCTGTGGTGACCCCGGATTAATAAAATGAAGATAATAAATGAATGAATGAATTGTGCAGCCCTTTAACTATAACAACTATAACTCTTTAATCAGGAAAAAACACATTTAAATCATACAACAGTTGTCGGTTTGAGGTGCAAGACATGCATGGTTTATTAAAGGTTCAAGACACCCTTCAGTACTTAAATAAAATAAAAGTAACATATTTGTGTGTGTTGAGCATCAGTTAAGACGCATTAGCACCTGTCAGCTTTAAATGTGGGGAAAACTGGATAATTTTAAGCTTTTGTCAACTAATTTCATCTTTCAATCTGCTCGTGGAGTGATGACACGTCTATTTCTCATTATTATTCATAGCTAAGTTTTCTTATCCTATGAGAAGAGCCGGCTTCTTAATTATTTATGAGAGCATCTGCTTTCCGACTTGCCAAGCTGTGAGAACCAATGACTGGCTGAGGCCGCGTCTGTGCACGATAAGCAGTATTTAGCCATTCATGAAAGATTGTATGTGTTCGTTACCAATGAAATTTGTCATTTATCAGTTGAGTTTGTTACCATTCAGACACATCGCCTATATCTGTGCTGCTGTGTTCGCTTGTTTTTAAAACTCTCCAGATTATCGGCAGGGTTAATGTTTTGACAGGGCAAGAGATGCAGCACTGCTATACACTCTGTCTGCATTCTGACCTGGGATTGAGGAGCAGAGAAGTCCTCATTTATAGTGTTTACATGGTTCTCTTTTTAATAACAAATTGTGGTTATCTGTATATGAAATTATGAATAATAAATGTAGAAGGCATTGAATTGCTGTTTATTTCTTTGCATTTTAACTTTGTAAACTAAAAAAAGGCATGGGCATTTAGTTTTTTTAAGGTCAACATTATCTCCAGCAGAAAAAAGACCCTCCAAATTGAAATATACTGAAATATTTCATTGGAATACACTATCATACAAAAGGATGCTGCACACTGATGGGGGTGTGAAGAGACCCCCCCCCCCTATGATTAAGCACTCTGAGTGTTGTGCCATACACGATAAATGCACTATATAAATACACACATTACATTATATACTGGTCAGCCCACGATTCAGGAACCATCTGAAAAACAAATTGCTTGTGTGCCAACATTCAAGCATGCTATTGACCTGAACAGTGCAGCGGCTTACTTCATATACAAAAAAAATTAAGATATCCAAAGATTCCTTTTTCAAGTTGTAAAGAAATCTGTTTTTTAAACTAATGAAGTCAGCAGAATTCTTTCTTAAAATTAAATATATTGGGTTCAACGGGAAAACAATAGTTTTTTACCCAGACATTTAAGAAGAAAATATTTTAGAGCAGTCATCACAATACTGTCAAAATTTTATACCGGCCCCTGCCTACTATAAAATCATGCGTCTCCTCACGGTTTGTCTCATTTTGTGAGCCAACTGACAACAGTTGTTCGCTCCCCTCTTTTTGCCCTGCTCTGCTGGCCACACCCACTCCTCCCTCAGCTCGCAGCGCTCCACACCCATCATGAAGCATTAATTAATTAAAGCAAAAAAATTCTGAGGTCTACTTGAACCGAAAAAGGGGGGTTTCATGACCCTTTAAAGTAGACACTCCTCTCGCAGCCTTGTTTTGTTCTGATGGAATGGGTTTAACAAATGATGTCTAGAGCCACATGCACATAAATCTTCTGTCTTCATGAATCTGTCTGGGTGTCGTGTGTGGCAGGTCAGCTATCATCTGCGCTTCACGTACAGCCCCAGAAATGCTCCAGCCCGAGAGAAGTCCGAGCTCAACCCTAACAATGATATGGACTGGCACACGCTCAGCCTGTTCCCGCTGTTCCAGATGCCCGGACCCAGAGAACAACACGACCCTCACGGGGGAACGCCAGGTCAGTCCGCACTGATGCTTTGTGGGAAATGTTGACGATAACATATCTGTGGCCTGAGCATACATGCCATTAGTTCAACACAAATGTTGCATGCTAAAGGAATCTTTAATCTTTTATTAGCTCAGTAGTTAGTTGTTTTTCTGTGTTATCGTTATAAGTTACATGGACCACTATTGTTTTACATTTATAATAATTTAAATTACTGTTTTTAGAGCTGTCGCAAAAAAAACAAAAAACTTTTTTGCACAGATTCTGAGATATTCAGAATTATATTCAAAGATGACACTCGAGCTGGTGCTTGAGGCTAGTTTTTAAACAGCAAATGGCGTTCTAGGGATAGTGCTTATCAGCATTCGGCTCCATAGGCTAGTTTTTTAACAGCAGATGGTGCTCTAGGGTATTTCTAACACCAGATGGTGCTCTAGGCTATTTTTTAACAGCAGATATCACTCTAGGCTAGTTTTTTAATAGCAGATGGTGCTCTAGGCTAGTTTTTTAACAATACATGGTGCTCTAGGCTAATTTTTTGTAACAGCAGTTGGTGCTCTAGGCTAGTTTTTAACTGTTGATGGCGCTCTAGGCTAGTTTGTAACTTTTAACAACAGATGGCGCTCTAGGCTAGTTTTTACCAGTAGATGGTGCTCTAGGCTAGTTTTTAACAGCTGATGGCGCTCTAGGCTAGTTTTTTAACAGCAGATCGTGCTCTAGGCTAGTTTTTAACAACAGATGGCGCTCTAGGCTAGTTTTTACCAGTAAATAATGCTCTAGGCTAGTTTTTAACAACAGATGGCGCTCTAGGCTAGTTTTTACCAGTAGATGGTGCTCTAGGCTAGTTTTTAACAGCTGATGGCGGTCTAGGCTAGTTTTTTAACAGCAGATCGTGCTCTAGGCTAGTTTTTAACAACAGGTGGCGCTCTAGGTTAGTTTTTTAACCGCAGATGGTGCTCTAGGCTAGTTTTTTAACAATACATGGTGCTATAGGCTAATTTTTTGTAACAGCAGTTGGTGCTCTAGGCTAGTTTTTAACTGTTGATGGCGCTCTAGGCTAGTTTGTAACTTTTAACAACAAATGGCGCTCTAGGCTAGTTTTTACCAGTAGATGGTGCTCTAGGCTAGTTTTTAACAACAGATGGCGCTCTAGGCTAGTTTTTACCAGTAGATGGTGCTCTAGGCTAGTTTTTAACAGCTGATGGCGCTCTAGGCTAGTTTTTTAACAGCAGATCGTGCTCTAGGCTAGTTTTTAACAACAGATGGCGCTCTAGGCTAGTTTTTTAACCGCAGATGGCACTCTACGCTAATTTTAACAACAGATGGTGCTCTAGACTAGTTTTCAACTGTAGATGTTGCTCTAGGTTAGTTTGTAACTTCTTAACAGCAGATGGCGCTCTAGGCAAGTTGTTTTCCAACAGCAGATGGCGCTCTAGGCTAGTTGTTTTGTAACAGTAGGTGGCGATCTAGGCTAGTTTTTGTAACGTTTTAACAGCGGATGGTGCTCTGGGCTAGTTTCTAACAGCAGATGGCACTCTTAAGCTAGTTTTTTTAACAACAGATGGTGCTCTAGGCTATTTTTTAACAGCAGATGGTGCTCTAAACTAGTTTTCAACTGTAGATGGCACTCTAGACTAATTTTTAAACAACAGATGGTGCTCTAGACTAGTTTTCAACTATAGATGTTGCTCCAGGCTAGTTTTTAAACAGCAGATGGTGCTCTAGACTAGTTTTTAACTGTAGATGGCGCTCTAGGCTAGTTTTTAACAGCAGATGGTGCTCTACACTAGTTTTCAACTGTAAATGGCACTCCAGGCTAGTTTTTAACAGCAGACGATGCTCTAGTTTAGTTAGTGTATCTAAAAAAAGGAAATTACTAGCTTACTATTCTTTGGTTTTTTTAAGTTGCCAAAGTGGAATGAACCACTAGTTACTCTGCCATAGTTTATCCAGTGGGTGTTCTTTCAGCCACAACCCAGCACTGGTATATTCCATTTCATTTATTTAGTCTCTGTCAAAATAGTTTAATACATGTGACATCAAATAAGGCTTAGCCCAAAAGTAATCAGACATTACTTTAAGTGTTTAGTCTAAGAGATTATACTGATTGTCAAGTAAGTAATCTACCCAGTTCTATATCTGCGCAATACAATAGAGAACCATTCCAAATCTTAACACCCGCAAAACTGTAGTCATTCCAGTTCATTAAACGGCTCCAAAATATTGATTAGACGTGCAAATGAGAACCGGTAGTGTCCTGATTTGTGATCGATTGCTTCCTTCAACCGTCTGATAGCATCTCTGCTGTAAATCTGGCCTTTTCTCTTATCCCTGCCTCCTCAGCAATCTCTTCCTGCATCTGAAGTCTCCTGTGATGAGAGATTGATTAGGAAGCGATTTGAATTAGTTAGCCGATGGCCCGCAGTGCCGGCAGCGGCTTCAAAAGGCTTGTTCTGAATCATGAGCGCCTGCGTTAGCACCGTGTCTGATCTCAGATGACTGTCAACCTCTATTTCTGGCAGCAGCCCATGGTACAGATTACAGCTTGATCTCTGCTTCCACGAGTCGTCACCACGCTTCACCGCGGTCCTTTCATCTGCATTTAATTGCATCGAGTTGCTTTATGCTTTAAGTGCAGAGTGTTTTGATCTTCGAGGGTCATTATGGATTGAAAGGCCTTCAGGAGCAGCGAGGAGCAATGAATGATGAAGTCTGTACAATTGTAACTTCCTTAAGCCTGTAGGAAAAATTGTAGGTGATTTAAAGTTTAACCTCTTCATTGCTGTGGGCCTTTTTTCTGCATCATTTATAACTTGCAGGTTCTACCTTACAACTTAGTCTCCTTTTTCTATTTAATTTCACAAACATTACTAATAAGAAGTGTGTGACATGCTATAAAATTTATTACATTAATTTTGCTGAAACTTTTATTTAGCGCTTGCCGATATAATCGGTATCTATTTATTTACTGAACACCATTGTCAATATCGTTAAAAAAAGATTAGTATGAAGCGCTATAGTTTTATTAAAATGTGGCTGCTGTGTGTGTAAGGAGCAGTGAGGAGATTGTAAATAAAAAAACAGATGTAAGGATGTCGCCAAAGTGGCTTTTTGGTTTCTTTTGTTGTGCATCCCAGCCACTAGCGCCCCCTCTGAAAGAGTTTTAAGCATGGGGGTAGTGTTGTTATAATTAGTGCTGTTAACAGAGTTTGAGGTTTACTGTATTATTATTATTCACACTTTTACTGATGTTGATCTACCTTCACCATTGTATACACTTTGTAACACACTTTTTAACTCTTATTTATTAAGTTTGAGAGTTTCTTTAACACCTGGGTTTATTTTATTATAAAAAGATCAGGTATTTAGTTTGAATATATTTGTTTTTGACTATTAAAACTATTTGCCTTAGTATTGTTGGTAAATTAAAATAAAGTGGTTAAATTAAAAATCCTAATATTCCTAAATGGATTGTTAAAACACTCGATAATTATCGATATCGACTGATATGAAACATGATATCATGATAATCGCACAGCTCTATTTTTATTTCAGTATCTTGATGTTCTTCCTACTGAAACAGAATATTGAGTAGGGGGTGGGACTTTCTTTTTGCGCATCATTCCCTCATGGCAAACTAACGGCATGGTTAAAAATATTGTAGCTAAAACGACCAAATGAACCTAAAAACACAAAAGGATTGATACTCCAAATGCAGAAGCAAATTGGCAGACTTTGATTGAAGATTTATAAAACAAATATTGCAGGGATTAATTGTGTACTTAAACAGTAACAATGTGTGCTAGAAAAATAAATAATGCAAATTTTAATTTACTTTAAATTGACTTTTAAGTAGCCTCAATGATTGACGTGCCTAAATAAAAGATCAAGTAATTTAAGAGCATGTAGCGTGGTGCTATTTAACATTATTTTTTTTAAATCATAATTTTTGGCTATTATTGTTTATGGAAATGTTTTGTCATGAAAACGATTGGTGATGTAATTATAAAAAAGCATGTGATTTTTATTTATTTATTTTTTTATGCTTGACATGCATAGAATATAATCTTTAAAAAAAAATTTTTTTCATTGTTGTTTATTTATTTATTTATTTTTATTATTATTTTTTTTTACAGATTTGTAAAACCAATTTACATTTTTTTTTTGTGGATTATACCCCAAAACATGTGCTTTATTTTTTTGTATTTCCCATGTATTTCTGATGCCTCATTTCCACTATGTGGTACAGTACTGTACAGGTCACCTTTATCAGGCTTGTGTGTACACAGCCAAATGGTAACAATGGTACCTTTTTGGTGGGCGTGGTGTTCGACAGAAAGAAGTTCACATATCGTATGAGAAGCATTTCTTACGAAACAAATACTTTATATACATAAATACTTGGGTATAAATGTTCATTACCAACCTTTATATAAACATGATTTTATAGCTGCAGAACAATGACAACGTCAAAAAACCTACTGTAATTACATAAAAATAAAATTAATCACATTCAAATTAATCAAAAATAAAAATTAAGTGAATAAATAAAACATTTATGAACACATACAAAGACTTAGAGTCTCTAAAAGGTTACTGATTACAAATAAAAATACCCAAAACATACATTTAGGCCTTATTTGGATTCATAAAGGTTACGAAACATATACAGTCAGTACAAACCTCTTTAACCATCAGCAGCACATGTAACCTCTTGTTAGAAAGTAATTCCGTCATTCTAAGTTCATATTAGTCCAAAAGGTGATGATAATGGTTAAACATGGCAGTTTGTTCATGTTTTAGGTTGCTGAAAGAATCATTTGCTCCTTTGTTTTTTTTCAGGCTTCACTCTCGCGTTTGTCCGTTTCTGAAAGGAGCAGGTGTCAGAAGTGCTTCAATAATCCTGTGCACTTTATTATCATCAGCTCAAATTTGTTATTTCAATTATGTGAGCGCACACAAGCTCTCAAGAGAAAGTGAAACCACTCATGCTTTTAGACAGCCTCGTAATACAACAACAGGACATTCAGCAAATTCTGCTCCTCCTCTTGGCTTTGTGGCTTTTCATCAAGAACAAGCACATTGTTTGAGCTCGGCTTGACCATGACTTGTTATTATACGTATATATTATTACAGTATCTTGGCTGTGTATTTAAAAATGGTGCTTCCTTTGTTTTCATTCTTCTAGCTTATGCACACACTAGTGGCCATTCATAGATGTATACACTAGATATCGCATAGGGACCCTGAGCATGCATCAATAGCACCGCCACATTGGTACAGTGCTCCCAGGACAAATGTCATTCAACCGCACTAGTTAAGACAGTGTTATTACGTGAAGATGCAGGACTTTAGCGCTGTCTACTGGTGTAATGAGCAAACAAAGAAAACAAAGCACAAAGTCAGAACATTTCATAGGTAATATTAAGTTTTTTTCTGTTTTTGTATGTTCTGAACTTTTGTGCTAATCAGGTAACGTTATTGATGATAACAGTCACTTACTGCACTCAGCATACGGCAAAGCAGCTCCAACTCGCACTAAACACTCAGCTTATGCTAGTTTTGTTGAATAAAATCAGCAAACAATGCAAAAGAAATATGACAACGAGATGCTGCGCTGCCAGAAACTTGTATTATTGTCGGCTAGTGAAACAGTCGTTCGGGGGATTCATTCACAAACGAGTCGCTCCCTCCGTCAGTATGAGAAGTGAAAGCAGGAGAGGAGCTGTGTTTCAGGACATGATTAGATCAAATTTAACAGGGAGGGTGAATAGTACATTTCTGTACACACAAACACAAGCTTTTTGTCAGGAATGCCCGTGCGGTCACTGATTCATCAATGTAGAAGTGATGCAAAATTATAATTTTCGTAATTAAAAAAAAAAAATTACATACTAACATCCAGGAAAACTCCCGATCATAGATGTATGTGTATATGTGTATATCTCTGGCTTTGGATGGCCACAGTCCTCCACTGTACCTTGGTCCCGCATTCATTTCAAAGGAGCGCTACCCTGTACCAAGATGGCGGCGCTATTGACGCATTCCGTCCAATAGACAACAATAGGCCAGGCGACATCTAATGTATATATGTATGGTGACCATTCATGTAGCGTTCAGCCTTTTGCTACCCTTTTGTTGTGCTAGGAACCCTTTGGAAGGGGTACACAAAAAGTGGTACGGTACGGTTTTTGGTACCTTTTGACAGTGGAAACAGGCATAAAATCATAAAATAATGTTGGTAGTTACATCACTAAGAACACAATGTTTTATGTTTTTTAAATACAGATTTGAGTTTATAATATGTTTATATTAAAGCATGTGCAATTTACAGATTTTCTTTACTATTCTGATGATTTAAAACATCTTAAAAATCAATGCCTAGTGATGCTTTTCCAATAAAAGTGAATGGGTCTAGCTTTTAGAGGAAAAGACTGGAATTTATAATAGCATTTGCATTAAGCCTTCTTTCAAATTTGTATATAACTTTACACTTAAATGATTTAAACTTGCATGTTGTTTTCATCTTATGTTAATGATTGCCTCCGTTTAGTTTTATAGTAAATGCGCTGCTGTAAATCAGATTTTAAAACGTATTTCTTCAACTTTGTTTCTGAAGGCGTTTTGTAAGGGAAAGCCACTGTAAAGGAATTAAAAATGTTATTCCAATAGGTTCAGCATGACTTCATAGTTTATCTATGTCTCTACGCAGGTTATTACCGTGAGGGTTTCCTTCAGGTCCAGTACGCGGTGGACAGAGCGATCATGATGGCCTACAACAGAAGCGCGGCCATGGCTCTCTTCGACCAAACACAGGTGCTGCTGTCCCGCTTCCCTTACCCAGCGTTCATCTACGACGTCTTCATCCTGGCCATCCAGAACCAGCTGCCCCTGCTGCTTGTGCTCAGCTTCACCTACACGGCACTGAACATCGTCCGCGCCGTCGTGCAGGAGAAGGAGAGGAAGCTGAAGGTGAAACTGCCTTATTATGCAGGAAAGCTTACACTTAAAATCAGTCAAAATTGTTAGCCCTGATGTGATTTTTAAAATATTTTTCAAATATTTCCCAAAGGATGTTTAACAGAGCAAGGAATTTTTCACAGTATTTCATATAATATTTTTTCTTCTGGAGAAAGTTTGCCGCTTGTTTACTGATTGTTTATTTACTTATTTTCTACTGATTTAAAATGAGTTGAAACAGAGCAATTCAATGGGACAACTGAATTGTTTTATGTTCAATCCACTTAAATTTGTAAAAATAGATTAGGCTAGCTTAATAGATTTGTGTTGGGACAACATGAAGGAATGGTGTGGAAGCCAACGTTTTTTACTGTGTACGTGTGTTTCAGGAGTACATGCGCATGATGGGTCTCAGTAACTGGCTGCACTGGAGCGCCTGGTTCCTCATGTTTTTCCTCTTCCTCTCCATCTCCATCTTCTTTGTAACCGTGCTCTTCTGTGTGAAGGTAAACACAGACATTGTGCTCATGTAATCTGCTCTTTGTTGATATTTTCTGCCCCTTGAAATGTCAGCGTGGTGTTTGGAATGTGTTTTCAACTTCTGGGTTAAAAGCCTGATCTTATTCAGAACAAGTTCCTCTTGTTTCACAGAAATTCTGCCAGTCTTTTTTTTATTTTTATTTTTTTAACAGTGTTTGCTTTCTGTTAATATTTCCTCCACCAATGTGGACGATCAAGTTACTGACTGGTTGTTTGTGTGACAAACAATCAGACATTAACACTTAAATGTGCAGTATGCATCTTCTTTTAAAAAGGTGTTGCTGAAATTGTTAAATATATTACATTCTACACTCACCGGCCACTTTATTAGGTACACCTGTCCAACTGCTTGTTAATGCAAATCAGCCAATCAAATGGCAGCAATTCAATGCATTTAGGTATGTAGACATGATCAAGATGATCTGCTGCTGTTCTAACCGAGCATCAGAATGAGGAAGAAAGGTGATTTTGAAGGTGGGATGGTTGTTGTTGCCAGACTGGCTGATCTGAGTATTTTAGAAACTGCTGATCTACTGGGATTTTCAAGCAAAACCATCTCTAGGATTTACAGAGAATGTCCATCCCTTTATGACCAGTGTACCCATCTTCTGATGGCTACTTCCAGCAGGATAAAGCGCCATGTCATAAAGCATGAATCATCTCAGACTGGTTTCTTGAATATGACAATTAGTTCACTGTACTCAAATGGTCTCCACAGTCACCAAATCCCAATGCTATCATGTCAGTGTGGACCAAAAATCTCTGAGGAATATTTTCAGTACCTTGTTGACTCTATGCCATGAAGGATTAAGGCAGTTTTAAAGGCAAAAGAGTTTCCAAGTAGTAAGGTGTACCTGATAAAGTGGCCGGAGAGTGTATATGCATAGTTAAAGGGATAGTTCAACCAAAACAGAAAAATCTGTTGCCATTCACCCACCCTGTCACTTCTTTGAGTTTTTATTTTTGATTTTGAGATGTTTAAACTGGTAACCATTGACTTCCATTGACTTCCAAGTCAGTTACCAATTTCCAACATTCTTTAAAGTATATTATTGTGTTAAGTAGAAAAAAAGGAACTCATAAAGGTTTCAAACCACTGAAGAGAGTAAATGGTGATTGAATTTTGATTTTAGGGTGAACTGTGCTTTTAAGACCAATTATTTGTGTCCTCAAAAAGTCAATTGCTAATCAAATTTCTCTTTTTTTCAGTAATCATTAACGTATGCAGTTTCTATAATTCTGTGTTATTAATATCAATAAAAAATTGTATTTTTAAAACTTTTACAAGTCCAATAAAAAGTGAACAAAATAGGAAATAAATGAAAATAAAAGTAATAAAACAACGTGAAACTAACTATGTACATGAAAAAAGTGAATAGAAAAATATATCAATACTTTAACAATATATATAAATTATATTAATAATTATATAAACAACTCTAAACATATTACTCCAAGGCCATGTCCACATGTACTGAATTTTCCCCATATTGGTTTAAAAAAACAAAGCTCTATCCTCATAAAAAAGCAAAAAAGCACGGTGATGCATGTAATGGGCACGCCAAACCAACAGTGGGCGATGGTCACACTTTTATACTCTCATTGTTCCAAAACAATCACGTAACTCGCGGCTGAACTGTCATAGTATGATGCATCGTTTGGTAAAAAAAACGATGTAGTGACGAATGTTTCCCAACACCCGTAGTTTCTCTGTCGCAGATCCATCATTTGAACCACGTTAGTTAAAACGTAAAACGCCCATAATGATGCTCTAAACAGGGTGGAGTAACAACTTTAGAGTAGAACCCCATCATTTTTTTGTGTGAATTATATTGTTTTGCACAAACACGCATTTAAAAAAAATATTAATTTAATATTAGTCTTGGTAAAAACATGCTCTCGTTTTCTATATTAACTGAATTGTATATAAACGGCACATATAGAACCTATATATGTTTCCTTTACAAATATTATTGAAACATTCTATTCTAAAACATAAAATCACTTACAAAAGCTAACACATATTTTAATATAATAAATAAATAAATAAATAATAAGGCTATTTATTAAGAAATTAAATTTAATATTTATTATTTATTAGGAAATTTTAAAAAATCCTACTTTAATAATAATAATGATGATGATGATGTAATATTAGTAGGATATTGTTTATTTATTCTTTTACAGTTTAACACCTATAAAACAATGCAGAAATGTTCTAACCAACAGGCCCATGTCATATACAGTACAGACACATTTCTTAATAAATAACCTACTATAAAATAAAAGCATTTACGTATGCTATGTTTTTTGTTTTCACAAGCTTTGGAGCAATGACTGTAAAAAATATACTAGCTTTAGAGACGTAACATAAATTCCATTCAGATGTGTTCAAAATGATATTAATGTTTTCAAAGTGCACTATGAAGGGAACGAAATTGTAAACATGATGATCACTAAAACTGAACTGTAAAAATAATTTGAAAGTGAATCACACCTAGTAGAGATGACTTTAATGCTTTTTATTTGAATCATTCCAAGTGAAAATGTTAGAAGGTTCTAAATGAATAGGGCATAGGGGGATAAGTGGGAATTGAACACAAACGTGAACTATGTTTCTAACTACAGCTCCAGAGGTGTAGTTGCAAGTGCATAAGTTTGCGACGCAGTTTGCGAATGTTCTTGGAACGACAGATTTGGGAAACGTCAAATCAGCTAACTATGTTTGTAACGATGGAACTTGCGTCCTCAATTGGCTAACGATGGTTTTCGGAAACACAGTGAAACAAAACAGTGTAGAAAAAAAATGCGGTTTTTGAAAATACCCGTGTTCATGTGGACAGGGCCTAAATTATGCTTTTACTACTAATTTGCATGCATTATTAGTAAAAAAAGGTATACTTGTATAGCGCATTTATCGTGTATGGCCATACACCCAAAGCACTTCACAATCATGAGGGGGACCACACCACCACCAGTGTGCAGCATCCACTTGGATGATGCGACGGCACTCACAGAACAACGGTGCCAGTACGCTCACCACACACCAGCTATTGGTGGAGTGGAGGGAAAGTGATTGGGCCAACTCGGTGGATGGGGATGACTGGGAGGCCATGATTATAATGGATGATATAGGGAATTTGGCCAGGACACCGGGGTTAAACCCCTTCTCTTTACGAAAAGTGCTGTAGGATTTTTACTGACCTCAGAGAGTCAGGACCTCGGTTTAACCTCTCATCCGAAAGACGGATTATTATTATGCAGTGTGGCCATAATTTAAAAATAAATGTCATTTTGTGAAATTTATAGGTACATTTTTCTCTATCAGCAGGTTTTTCTAGATTTTCATTCCTCCACACTGTACTTGGAGTAAATTAATCAATAAATGATTCACTAATTAGGAATCAGAACCAATAAGCTGACTGTGGAAAATCAGGGTTGTTTTCTGGTTGTTTACTCCTGCTCATCTGAAGTCTATTGCTGGTTGGATATGTAGTGAATGTATTTGTTATGCGTTTTTCTTTCACAGGTGAGTCCTAATGGAGCCGTGTTGACCTACAGTGACCCGACGCTGGTGTTTGTTTTTCTGCTGGTGTTCGCCATTTCCACTATAAACTTCAGCTTCATGATCAGCGTCTTCTTCTCCAGAGGTCAGTCCTTTATTTCAATCGTATTGTCACAAGTATTACATGTCAATATTCAAACTCGTATAACAAAGAATAGTCACATGCACACACATACATCCAGGGGGAGTTTCTTTTTCAAGTAATTCCCAAATTGTGTTGAACAGAGCAAGGAGGAATTTTACATAGTATTTCATGTATTTTTTCTCCTAATGAAAATCTTATTAGTTTTTTTTATGTTGGCTAGAATGAAAGCAGTTTTGAATTTTTTTTAAAACAAGGTCAATTTTATTAGCCCCCTTAAGCAATATTTATTTCGATTGTCTACAGAACAAACCATCATTATACAATGATTTGCCTAATTACCATGACTTGCCTAATTAACCTAGTTAAGCCTTTAAATGTCACTTTAAGGTGAATACTAGTGTAGATTAAATATGCAAAAGTAAAAAAAAAAAAAAAAATTTATATATATATATATATATATATATATATATATATATATATATATATATATATATATATATATATATATATATATATATATTTTATTATTATTTTTTTTTTAAATTGGTCTTACACATAATTTTTCAGATTTTTCATAATTCTGGTACTTTTACCATAAACATACATATCAATCATTTGGTAGAGGTTGATATTTTAGAAATTATAACATGTGTTAAAATGTACTGATTGTGTTCAATAGCGACATTAGCAGTTGAGAAATGCAATCCAATTTTTTTTCTTGAAAGGGTTGTTAAAGGGTTAAGACGATTTCTGTGAAAATTTATCAAACTGTATCACAGAAACACTGACTAAAGTTCAGTAACAATGCATCAGACTGAAATCAGACAAATTACTTTAAGAAAATGCATATTTGAAATACATTCAAAAACATTTGCATCATTTATAAATCAGGAATCATCAGTAAGAGGCAATTGCAATGTTATTGCAGAGTAGAGAAAAACAATAGTATAAGGAAGTAATAATGAAAATGCATCTAAATGACTAAAGTCAGAAAGTAATTTGAGCACAAACATCAACATATTCTCATATAAATCATCAACTGCAATGCAGAAAAAATATGTGAAAGTAATAATGAAAAGGCATCAAACAGCTTGAAAAAACAAAACAAACAATAAAAACTAAGAAAATACAAATTTTATATTAAGAAAAAATAAGAAAACATTTTATAACTTTCCCTTTAACAATTATGTGCAAACATCAATATATGAGCTATAAAGCAATCATCAGTGAGGATGATCAAGTTCAATGTAAATGCAGTTTTAAAGAAAAAACAGATATAAAAGTTAAAATGAAACCTGAGGATGGAAGCATTTTAAAACAAATTTGAAATAGGAAAACTTTTTTTAACTTTTACTCGAACAATCATGTGCAAACATCAATCCTGAGATATAAAAGAGTCTGTAAGAAACATTAGTTGCAATGTAACTGCAGTGTAGAGTGTCTTAAAAAATATCTAGTCCATTATTATGTGCCGTCATCATAGCAAAGAGAAAAGAAATCAGTTATTAGAAATGAGTTATTAAAACTATTCTTTAGAAATGGGTGTCATGGTGGCACAGTGGGTAGTACGATTGCCTCACAGCAACAAGGTCGGTGGTTTAAGCCTCAGCTGGGTCAGTTGGTGTTTCTGTGTGGAGTTTGCATGTTTTCCCCGTGTTCGTGTGGGTTTTCTCTGGGTGCTCCTTTTCCCCCACAATCCAAAGTACAAGTTAAAGAACACAGAATCCAAGGAAGCAGTGAGGTCACAGTATTAATGATTACTGTTTGTCAGCAAAAATTAATGCTAGCAGAACCCTTACTGCTAGTGTCTCCTCCCCAGGATGTCCATAAACCACAGTCTGCCACACCAGGGAACACTGCTTGGGGTAGTTCACACCAAAGATGTAGAATGCTTTATAGCAAACGTCCACTTTGGCAAGTAATGTACTTTGCAATAATAAATAGCACAGCACGTGAGCAAAGGCTTGAAAGAAGTGGCGGTCTCCAAGGATGAGAACATGAGGAAACTCAATAGATTCTTGAATTCAATGGATGAAGATACTCAGCAATATTGGTCCCAATCTGAAAAAATAAATAGAAGTAAGATTTATTAAAAACTCAAAAGTGTAAAAGTTAAATATCTTTAGAGTTAACTTTAGAACACCTAAAATACCTTTAGAAGCAATTAAGGCCATAACACACCAAGCTATCAGCCAGTGTTGGCATTAGTTAACCACTGACCATGGCACCATGCTGCAATTTTTTGGCCCGAGTGAAGATGACAATGCAACAACAGGTTTGCCTAAGGAACTTTTTTTAATAAGTAATAGTAAGGCAAGATGAGCATTTGAAATTATTAAGTATTTAATTGTGTTTTCTTAATGAGAATAGATAAGACCCTTCTTCCTGAGCTGGGACTGTTTGCAACCGGATTTGTATAATTTGAAGCCGCATTTAAATTTTCTTTAAAAACTTCAAAAATGAGGCACAATCTCAGTTCAAGATGGATAAAATTGCTGAAATATTTTCCTAAAAAAAAAATCTTTCTGACTGAAGAAAGAATGACATGAACATCTTGGGTGACATCTTTTTATGTTTTACGCAGCAGATGCCCTTTCAACTGCAACCCATCACACTCTCATTTAGACACACACTATGGACAATTCAGCTTACCCAATTCAGCTACACCGCATGTCATTGGACTGTGGAGGGGAAACCCATCCAAGGCTCAAACCAGCGACCATCTTGCTGTGAGGCGACAGCACTACCCACTGCGCCCCCATGCCACCCTAATAACAAACATAAAAATAACATTTTCATTGTTAATAAAATAACTAAGACAATCATTATGCATTAAATGCATCATTATGCATCGAGAAACCTTTAATTGAATCCTTACCCTCTGAATTGTATTCAAATTGACCTAAAAACGAGGAAAAGTTCGCTCCTGTGCTAAAAATAAAACAAGAGAATGTCACTGGTTGCATGAACAGCAGATTTTAAAAAATAACCAGACAAAAACAAATTGGCATTAGAGTTCAATCTCTCAGTTTAAAGTGTTGAAGTGGCTAATGATTACTAGGGCTGCCCCCTAATAATTGAATAACCATTAGTCAACTAAAAATTTATTATTCATTCATTCATTTTCTTTTTAGCTTTGTCGCTTTATTAATCTGGGGTAACCACAATGGAATGAACCACCAACATATCCAGCATAAGTTTTATGCAGCGAATGCCCTTTCAGCTGCAACCCATCACTGGGAAACGAATACTCATTCACACACATACATCATTGACAATTTAGTCTACTTAATTCACCTTTACCACGTCTTTGGAAACCGGGGCACCTGGAGGAAACCCACGCGAACACGGGGAGAACATGCAAACTCCACACAGAAAGGCCTATTGACCCAGCCAAGGATCGATCAAGTGACCTTGTTGCTATGAGGCGAATGTGCTACCCACTAGTTGCAGAAAAAAAGTCCACACTGGCAAAGTCAATGTATGCTGCATGAATCCGCTGTGTAAAAAATATGCTGGATAAGTTGGCGGTTCATTCCGCTGTGGCGACCCCAGATTAATAAAGGGACTGAGTCAAAAAGAAAATGAATTAATGAATAAATGGTTTATTAATAAATCTGTAATTATTCAACTAATGCTTCAAATGAACATCACAAGTCAACCAGACAAATGTTTAGACAAAGGCAGCCCTAATGATTACAATGAACCAAGTAAAATATTATTACATACCTTCAAATGTGGGGATTAACTCCTCAAGATTGCATTCTTTTAGTTTGATTTTCACACAATTATCCATCTGAAAAAGAATAACAGATAAAAGCGTTTAAGCAAAATTAAGTAAAAAAAGATCATGTTAGCCAAAAGTCACTATATCACAAAAATACTCCTAAATGATAATAATTATCCAGGGTGTCACATAAAACGGTGGTCAAACTTTTTCTTTTTGCAGTCGAAGATGATTAGGTTGGAATTAGCCTTAGCTCAGACATTTCCGTTAGCATGAAACGACCCTTACATACAGGATTAATTAAAGATAGCTCAAATCACGTCTAGAATGTAAAATGCTCATAGTAAATTAATAACATTTGCTATTCAATGTACAGCTAAACAAAATGTACATGCAGAGCAGGACAATTATTGTATATATTTTGATAAAAAAAAAACATTGTTAGAAGCTGAATTCAACACTTATGCATCAAAGTATTGTCACAAAAATCCATGAACAAACTTAAGAAATACAAGAGTAAAAATACTACTTACTGCTTTACAGTTAACACCCCAGAAAGATCACAAATCACAGTAACGTTACTTACTGTCATCACCTAGCCAACATAAAAATCTGTGTCATTCAAAAGGCATTTTATTACAATAAAAAGCTCCTAAATTATCCTAGGTGTTGTGTTTATAAAGTGGTCATCAAACATGCTTCACGTTAGTTTCATTAGTTACCTTATACTTTTCGAGCTCCTTCCGATGCCATGCGCGCTTACCCGTCCACCGATCAACAGGCTGGGCGTGAGGCGAGCACAGGTCAGGTGTTAGGCGGAGCAACAGCTCGGGCGTTAGGCGGAGAAACAGGTCCGGAGAAACAGGTCGCCGTTAGGCGGAGAAACAGGTCCGGAGAAACAGGTCCGGAGAAACAGGTCGCCGTTAGGCGGAGAAACAGATCCGGAGAAACAGGTGGCTCGTCAGGCGGACTCGGAGCAACAGTTCAGCCATAAGGCGAGCACAGGTCAGCGTGAGGCGGAGCAACAAGTCGGCCATCAGGCGGAGAAACAGAAAAAAAAGCGCGTGTATATTATACTAAGTAAACTAAGTGTGTTATTTCTTATGAAAATTGTTAAATACACACTAAATAACTTACGTCTCACACAGAATTTCACTCGCTTCCCCTCAAAGACAGCGCAAAGAAAATGGCGGTTTCTCACGTTGATGTCCCTGCATGTTGACGTGACGTGCGTGCTCTCTTTCACGTCCGCGTTCCCAACCCAGCACTGCTG